CCCCCCCCAAAAGAAAAACAATTAATGGTAAGACTGTTCAGACGTACCTGTCTGTTGCTTGGGCTGTTGCTCCTCTCTGTCCTCAGGCACGACTTCCACCTCATGCCTCTCCACATCAGGCTGTAGGACTTTGGGTTTTTTGGTCAAAAAGAACATTTGATCAATATATCAGCTTTGTGTGACTGTGGTGTTTGACTGCAGCTCCAAAGACGCTCCTTCCTGTTGATCATTGTTTTTATTATGTAAACCACTAAGAAAACATTAACTCTAGATTCCAAAAAGACAAAAAAAACAAAAAACAAAACAAAACAAAGAATGACAATCTGGGATAAGAATTAGACCAGACTCTTATGCTCTCAAGGATAACTACATTACGCCCAATGGCATATCTTGTGAGAAGAAGGGCGTGGTTATGGGTTATATGGCCTGTTGCTACATGCTTTTAAGAGTCTGTACAACAGCCATGAGAGCGTGGATAATAAAAAGCAGTAAGTCAGATTGCACGCTCAAGAAGAGTTTAGTTGGGTGGTCTCAGATGTTTTCTGTTGGCGACCTCCATCTCACTGGAACAGCCTGAAGCAGCAGAAATTCTAATTAGTCCCTCAAAGTCTGAGGTCATGGCACTAAAAAATGTATGGAATAACCACTCCAGACTGAAGGTTCTACCTCAAGTAGAGGCTTTATACACCTCAAGGTCTAGTTCAGGGGGAAAAAAAAATTGAATCATCTGCTCTTCTCTACACTTAAGCTGAGAGAGATTCATGCCGAATTGCAAATAACGCTAATATTATTTTCCCTGCATTCACATTTTATTGTAATTACACATCTGTATGTTTAACAGCTTGTAAACGTAAAATCAGCGATTTTTAAACGAAGTTCGGCAAATTCTACATTTACAAATCAGCTTTTTGTGGCTGCGAGCAGCTTTATTTGTCCACTCACCTCTTCTCTCCAGAGAGACGTTAGGCTGCAGGAGCTCCAGCAGTCTCCTCTGACGGCCGATCTCTCGCCTGAAGCCCGCAGCCTCCTCCTCGTAGTCGGCTACAGTCCTCTCCACCACCGCTAAGATCTCGCGGGCGGCTGTGCTCATTTTCTCGGTGACGATTCCTCTCAGTATGTCGCTCTTAGACATGTTACCGACGCTGTCGACCGGCTCGGGGCCGCCGCTGCTGCCGCTCTTCATCCAGTAAAACATGTTTGTTTGTTTTCTCAGCTGTGTTTTGACGAAGAACACATCCACACACTACAGCGCAGGGTGCGTTTCCGGCGGATTCTGGTGCAGCTACAAATTGTGTCCGGAAAAGAAAATCAGGCGTTATTTAGTTCCCCTGCTGGTGTGACTTTTACTAGCTAACCCCAGTAAGACTGATGTCTGCTGTACATTTAAGATGCTGGTGAAAATCATGGCATTATAGTAAAGTAAGTGAAAAGCATTTTTAATGTAGCACCTTTAAGGATAAACATCATAACAAAAATGGTTAAATGTTAGAACAAAAAGTTACCCAAAAGCAAGCTTAAAAAGATTATATTTTTAGCTGCTTTTAAAACAAATCACCAAATTCATAGATCTCAAGCTTCAAAAGCTCTATCTCCTCCTTTAGCCCTCAGCATTGGATGATGCACAGTCTGCAGTGACCTCGGGGACCTTTACATTAGGGGCTTCTGTCCAATAGCACAGCACCGACAGAAGCACAGCATGTTACAGATACAGTAAAGGGGAATGAGAGTAAGGATATAGGCATAAATATACCACATATACACATATATAAACACAGAATATATAATATGGATAAATAGGAATACCAGTGGATTGCACATTTGAGTGATTTTACACAGTGATTATTGCTCAGTCGAATATAAGAAAATACAGTTTTATACCTATTAAACTTATATTTTTGTCATTTTACATAGAAATTGAAGAAAACATGTGTTTTTGTGACAGGGTGATAGTAACAAAGTGACTAAAGATATAATTTAAAATTGGTGCTTTGTGACGTTGTCTACACATCATTAGAAAAATTACAAGAAAGTCTGGCTGCTCGAAAACAAAATGACAGGTGACATTCAAGTATGACAAAAATGGTCATTTCTGTTATTTGGTTACTTTAACTTATTGCCCTTTTATTAAAATGGTTACATTCAGGTATTTAGCTTAAAATCATAAGGAAAAAAACTATAAAGGAAAAAAAAATCAAATCTAATAAAGTGTTGTCTGTTAATATTCTGACTTTAATTCACTAAAGCCTCTAGATTAATTCATATTGTTATACATATATACATTACTAAATATAAAAAATAATTAAAACAAACATTAAAATTTCAGTTTAGTACTATTAACAACCAATGGTTTAGACTAAATTGGCTATATTAAAAGTAATCTAACAAATAAACAAATTAACATATTTGTCATTATTTTTATGTTCTCCATTAAACAGTTAAAATTTCAATAATTCAATAAAATGAAAAGTTAACACTATATCACATAAGCTAATATATAACACAAAAATACTCTTAACACAGGTATTTTCTAATTATTATTTTATAAATTGCATTTTATATTTAAATTTAAAAATATTAATAACTTTATTTAAACTAAATTTCACATTTTAAGGTATTTTAAAAGTATACTTTTGAACAAAAAAGTGTTTAATGTAAATGATTTTTCAAAATGTTAAGAAATGGGTATAGTATAAGTTGTACTTTTAAATTCACATTGACATATAAATCTAGGATTTAATACAAGAAACTTCTATTTAATTAGAAATTATAGAGAAGAATTAAGAGTAAACAGGGAGGTTATTTTATTACATGAAATCTCTGAAAACTGTCTAACAGATTTTTCTTTCTAGACTTCTTCAGCTAAAATTGATAGACTCAGTGAAGAAAGGACAGTAAAGTAGGGGAAAGCATGCGGCAAGGGGCTGCGGGTCAGACTCAAACCCGGGTGGGCCGCTCTCAGCTGTATGGCATGTGGTCACCCGCTCAACGCACTGATCTAAATTTGGCTTCTTATGAAGTTACTTTTCACCCTAACCCCCTAACACAATCTTTTGATAGATTCTGCACAGGTGGGATTACTGCAGTAAACTCAAACACTGTCACAATATTGATCCAACTAGAATATTTTCCAATAAAATGTTTAATAGAAGAAAAAACAATTGTGCACACAGGGTAAAATAATGAAGTGGAAAAATAACAACTTTAATCCAAATTTCAACAACAAACCAACAAGACATTACACATTAAACAAAAGTCAAGACAATCCAAGCAGGACGACATTCACAATGACTAACCCCGAAGAGTTTTAAAATGACTGTGTGCTGATAAAAGTCCCACAGATTGCGGGGGCGGTGCAAGGGTGTTCACAGACTCTGGAAACAATTTGACGTTCCCTGTAGAATATCTGTAGCGAGTATGTCAAACACACCGCCTGTGGACCAGAACCGGCCTTCTGAAGTGTCCGATCCGGCCCACCGGATGGCTTTGCACTTAGTAAAAATGTCAAACAACTTTTCACGGCATGTTGCAGCAGCAAGCAGCTTTTGAGTTCTTAAGTGTGAATCACACCGTGAGAGTCTGAACTGTCAATCTAATGTGGAGTCAGAGGAATCATCAGTTATATGCCTCCTTACTGTCAAATAATCTGCCATACTTACAAAGTAGTGTTCTCGACCCCCACCTATTCACAGTTCAGTATTATCAGGTTATCTTCATTAGGATGACAGTTTAAGTTATATTTGGTGTTTGAACTATTAAAATAGGCAGTTATAGGTGTTTTTAGAGGGATCTCAGGTATTTGTGGATTTAAACTATTCACATGTGGTTATTGGGGGTCAACTGCAGTTGATGAACCTTTAAATAACACAAATGAAACAATGTTGTCTTTTCATTATTGAATTTTTTTTTCACTTCTTTCTTTGCATTTGGGCACTTTGTTCTTGTTCATTGTTAGTACAGCGAACTTTGTGATACAGGCCTCTGAATTAATTAAGAACAACTATAACTAAGACCTCAGTCACACAGGCATACAGACTGGTTGCCAACCAACATATGTAATCCCAAGTCAATTGTTGAGTGGTTCGTGGAGGACGCTGGGAGTTGTCTGCCTAAAACTCATTGGAAAGACTGCACAGTGATGCACCAAAAACCTGCTCGTGATTGCTTTGGTCACTAGCAGATTTCTGCGGTTTCCCTCAGGTTGCATGGAAGATACAGACGGGTCTGCAAACACTTGCTAACTAAGTCCCAAGCTGTACTGAGACAGAGACCATTCATCTTCAAAATAAAAGTTGCACCTTACAAGAGCAGTTAGCTTTTTCTTTAGAGGCAAACTTTTCAGTTTTAAAACAACTCTGCAAGTAGTTTACAACCGTTGTCTCCCATATTAATTGTTGAGACTGTGGCAACCTGAGTGTCACCAAAAGAAATCTCACAAGGAGGTTTTCGGTGCAGCGCTCTCTTTACAAACAATTTCACCCATCAACAGCCAGAAACCTCCAGCAAACAGTCGGGTTGCACTACTTACCGCTGATTGCCAAAGAGGTGCAGGCCGATCTGTAGGCCTGCTTTACCGAGGTCCAACATAGGAAACAACCCACCAAAACAACATTTACTGTAAAATGATCAAATATAAAACTAACCTTCATACAACCGGCGTCAATTAGAGCTGGTCAAAACTTATCAAACATCTCCTGTAAACATAAAAATAGTTTTTGTTCTTGAGACTAGTACGTAAACAGCAAAGAACTCATCCAGCAAAATTACTTTTGCCCCCATAAACAAATTACTCTGAAATACTAAAGATAAATAAAGGTTCAGATCTGAAACGGGTAACAACAAACTCACATTTTCTTATAAAAATAAGATGAAATAACATAAACAGGACTTTTAACTTTAAGGGACCTCTAATGAACGGAATCACATTTACTTTGTTAAACTTCCCATAGAAAAGTCTTCTGATGGCATCTGGTGATCATCTGTATTTCTCTTATTGTCAACAACTCTCCCAAATATGAACTAAATGTTTATTTTCAATGAAAACTATGGGCTCAAATTGTGCTCATACATATTTTGCATAGTTGTGAACTGAGTTTTGTAACCTTGTAAACCAAAATATCTGAACATTTTAAGTTGGTGCATCTATAAAATTTCACCAAACTCTGACACGCACAGAATGTTTTCCTTCGTGGTGATGAAGGACAACGCTGGGCTGGCACATGAAAGGACCATCACCCTTCCAGGACCTGAGGCTCAGTAAGGTACCCCTCCGACAACCACATCCATCTGTTCTCTGATTGGATTGTTAAATTTGTGATTGACATGACATTGACCAATTAGCTGAAAGGAAGAACAATTGGGTGAAAATTCATATTTGTAAGTTGAAACTTACACACAGCAAGGCAACTTGAGCACAAGGTTTTACACTTTGTTTGTTGCTGTGTATCTGTAACTAGACCTTAATAACAAGTGTAACTTGTGTAATTTTTTTTATATACAAACACACATTCTAATCTACAGGGTGGGCCATTTATATGGATACACTGTAATAACATGGGAATGGTTGGTGATATTAAAGTCCTGTTTGTGGCACATTAGTATATGTGAGGGGGCAAACTCCTCAAGATGGGTGGTGACCATGGTGGCCATTTAGAAGTCGGCCATCTTGGATACAACTTTTGTTTTTTCAATAGGAAGAGGGTCATGTGACACATCAAACTTGTTGGTAATGTCACAAGAAAAACAATGGTGTGCTTTGTTTCAACGTAACTTTATTCTTTCACGAGTTATTTACAAGTTTCTCTTTGTTCACAGCCATTGACATGTCAAAGACGTTGACACGTGAGGAGCGGATCGAAATTGTGTTGATATCCGGTGAACGCAGTAACCGGGTCATTGCAGCAGATTTCAATGCAAGACACCCTACGAAACCACCCATCTCCCATGCTACAGTTAGCAAACTGCTTGCTAAGTTTTGTGAAACTGGTTCAGTGTTGGATTTGCCGCAAGAAAACTGTCACCAATGAAGAAACAGCAGTGGCTGTCCTAGCTTCATTCAGCAAGAGCCCACATGTCACTGGAGAGTGGGATTAGTCAAACATCCCTTCAGCGGATATTAGCTACTCACAAATGGCACCCTTACAAACTCCAGCTACTGCAGCACAGAATTTGCAGAAGGGCAAAAAAAAAATTGGAACAGGACCCTCAGTTCACGCAGACGATTTTGTTCAGTGATGAGGCAAACTTTTATGTGAATGGTGAAGTTAACAAACAAAACCACCGCTATTGGTCTGACACTAACCCACATTGGATGGATCCCTCCAAGACTGTTGGTACAACAAAAGTGATGGTTTGGTGTGGTATATGGGGTACAATGATAGTGGGTTCATTCTTCATCAATGGAAACCTCAAGGCCACTGGATATTTGAAATTGCTACATAATGATGTGTTTCCCTCTTTATGCACTGAAGCTGGCACGTTCCCTGAGTTTTTCCAGTAAGATGGTGCACCACCACATTATGGGTGCCAGGTCTGAGCATTCCTAGATGGACAGTTTCCTGGAAAGTGGATTGGTCGTCGTGGGCCAGTTGAATGGCCCCCAAGGTCTCCCGATCTGACCCACTTAGACTTTTATCTTTGGGGTCATCTGAAGGCAATTGTCTATGGTGTGAAGATACGAGATGTGCAGCACCTGAAACTACGGATACTGGATGCCTGTGCTGGCATTTCTCCTGCTGTGTTGCTATCAGTGTGTGAAGAGTGGGAGAAGAGGGTTGCATTGACAATCCAACACAATGGGCAGCACATTGAACACATTTTATAAGTGGTCAGAAACTTGTAAATAACTCATGAAAGACTAAAGTTACGTTGAAACCAAGCACACCATTGTTTTTCTTGTGACATTACCGATAAGTTTGATGTGTCACATGACCCTCTTCCTATTGAAAAAACAAAAGTTGCATCCAAGATGGTCGACTTCTAAATGGCCACCATGGTCACCACCCATCTTGAGGAGTTTGCCCCCTCACATATACTAATGTGCCACAAACAGGACTTTAATATCACCAACCATTCCCATGTTATTACGGTGTATCCATATAAATGTCCCACCCTGTATAGACGCACAACCATAACACTTTCAGAAATTTTGGTTTACAAGGTTACAAAACTCAGTTCACAACTACGCATTTGATTTACAAGCACAAAATATTTTTGAAAACAACTTGAGCCCATAGAAAATGAGCAATGGTATAAGGAAATTAAACTTTTGGATTTGGAAAGTATTCAATGCAGCAATGTTTTCTTTACTGGTATCAACAACATGTGACATTTAAAAAAATGTAATTTTTAATTTTTTTTAACAAAGCACTCAGAGAGCACAACTCCTCCCAAAAAGTGAGGACTATATACTATAATGTTTATGTTTGATGTTTTTATTAAAACACGCTGGTGTCAGTCTGCTATGGCGTCATAATGGAAAAAACAAAACAACACAAATCATACAATCATATTTGGTATGGTTTCTTGAAGAAATTTTTTAAGAAGACTTTGACCTTGAGCGCTAACCATGAAGGTCAAGGTAAAAGGGTTTGCTAACCTTCAAGACCTAGTATATTGTTGCAAGGCTTGAAGACTATCTTAAAAAAACAAAACAAAACAAAAAACGTGGGTAACAAAGCGCTTTATTTCTTTTTTTATTAACTGATTTTTTTAGGTTTGGTGTGACCTTGATCTGATGTTGAGCTGTTATTGGTATCTACCATCACAATATTTGAAAACTGTAGACACTAAACTGGCTGAGATGGCTGTAGCTCAAATGGTGCAGGTGACCACAAACCATTACCTGGAAGGTTATCATTAATCCTGGGGTCTACATGTAGTAAAAACAGGACAGCTAGAGTTACAACTATGATTTTTTTTCAGGGGGGTTGTTGACAATGAGATAATGTAATCTTTAGGGCACAGAGGTACTTTTTTTAAAAGAATATGTAAATCTAAAAAAAAGTGCAAACAGAGAACAAGATCATCTGAATGTGTATGAAAAATATTGAACATTTCCTGCAGATTAGCATCAATCCATTACTTCCGTCCAAAAGTCACAGAAACACTAATTTCCCTGTACCATTACGCTTTGTTTGTAGTACTGAGTTAAATCTGCACCATGTTCATTCTCAAGAAATGTAACTAATAACATTTGGTGGACTACTGATTAGCATGACTTCCGTAAACGCTAGTTATGCTGACACAATAGGTGGAAATGTACCTTTTTTTCCTCCCATTTTCACAGCTCTGGCAGTTCATGTGTAGACTCAGTCAGTTTTGAAGTCTTTTTGTCCTTCCCCAGTTTCAAAGTAACTGCTAGTCAAGATTTAACAGCTCCTGGTTTATCACAATCAACTCAGTTTCACAAGTGCAGGTAAACGCCAGTGCAGGTTCAGCGCAGTACTGCTAATTAAGCTTCAATGTCCAGGATCTTTCCAAGGACTAAAGGTTCCTCCAGCTCAAATTATATCCCAAAAAAAGGAAGCTAGGCTTTGTTTACCATAGTAACCTTACATTTTAGTTCTTCTAACCTTTGAGTCGCTAACCATTATTTTGTTTTCTTTGATATTCCTTTGCCACATTGCTGCTAGCATATAGCAGCATAAACACGCCTTAATATGCTGAATCTTTGTCGAAAACAAAAAACCATAGTGAAGGAACTTGGAAAATTTGTGGACACTACATGCAAAAAGTTACTTTTAGAACCTGACCAATACTGGAGTTTTAAGAAGGATACCGGTAACTGATATTCTAATATCTCAGGTGATATTTTTTATTTTTCCACTTGAAACACGAAACATAACATTTGTTATGTGTACTTACTAATGTACTTATTTCTTTATTTTAAATTTTCATTTACTGGCAAATATCTAATACTGACCAAAAAAGATAATGCCCTACCTGCTTTAAGAGCACTAGTTTTATTGGTAAACACAAAAAATACTCAATATTTACTTTGTTTGTAAACTGAATAACCTTTGGGTCTCAGAGTTTTGGTCTGAACAAATCAAGGCATTCGAAGGCCTCAGCTGATCCTGAGAAGTTGCCTTTCTGACATTGTAAAGAACACTGAACGTAACCATTAGTTTAAGTAAGAATAAAAAAAGCAGCCCACTGTTAAAAAGTGAAAGAAAACATGAAATAAATGGATGGTAGCCTCTTACATTGGTGACGTTATCAGGAACCACTGTCATCCCTTGAACTTCAGCCGCTACCGTCTGGGCCGTCTTGAACACTCACCTTCTAACTATCTAGAAACCTATAAGCTAACTTTCCCCAGAGATCGGTTGGTATTGAGGGTGAGGCACATCTTTCCCCCTCTGGGTCACTACTGTACACACCCACCACATTTTAGTTTCATTTTTGGGGAGAGGGCATGCTGTCCACCTTAGCATAACTGTCTTCAGTTTCAACCCTACTAAGCTGCTCTGTTTGTTGGTGGTACTTCTTCTGGTGGATCAGGAGGTGTCTTCTCACACAGTGGCCCTGGCTGAAACCTTTCCCACAGTGTGTGCACTTGTAAGGCTTCTCTCCAGTATGGACTCTCATGTGAGTCACCACGTTTGACTTGTGAAAGAACTTCTTGTTGCATTTATCGCAAGCGAACAACCTCTCCCTGCTGTGGTTCTTTGTATGGATCCGTCTGTCTGTGGCTGCCGTGCTACCCGAGTGAAGTGCCACATGTTGAGACAAAGTATCCAGGTGGCGGAAGCGCTTCCCACACACATTGCAGCTGTGTGGCTTCCCCCCCGCATGATTGGTTGGCCGGTGAAGTTTGAGCTTCAACTTGGAAAAGTTTTTTCTGTGTGGCTTATCCACTGCATGGACCCGGGACTCATGGTTCTTCAGCACCCACTTCTCAGGGAACGCTTTGTGGCAGGTTCTACATTTGTACGGCGTGTTTCCCTTGTGTCGAGCGAGGTGACCCCTGTAGCCGACGACGGTGAGGAAGGACTTCCCGCAGATGTTGCAGGTGTGCGTTTTCTGGTGAGTCTGAAGATGACTCCTGAGCTGCTCTGCAGACACTGACTGCTCTCCACACACTCCACAGAGCCTTTCTCGCTCGTCCACATGACTCCAGGCGTGTTTGATCAGCATGTTTGTCGACCCACGTAAAATCTGGCAGACTTTACAGGACAGCAGAGCCTCGCTGTTGTGAATCAACATTTTCTGCTTTGCCTTCTTTATTCGGATGACTGAATGTTTGACTCGTCGATTCCCTTTCGTCTTCTCGGGTTCACCGTTCACCAGATGATCATTGGTTATGTTTGGTTTCTCATTGGGAAGCCCATCACTCAACTCGTTGTGTTCATAAAGTATTAAAGATTGCAATTGCGAGAGACCAGTGTACTCCAAACCACCCTCAGATTCCTTCAGCTCCACATCTTTGTGACGTGATGTTGAGCTGTTTGAGAAAATGTTCACTGGATTTTCTTCCGGTTGATGAGGGCTTCTGTGGGAACAGAAATTTAAAGTTTAGGGCTTATTGTTGTTATTAATGACAAACAGTTTACTGGTGAGTTGAGATATTCAAAGTGGTGTCTGTGTAGCATCTTCTAACACCACAGAGCATGAATTGATTGGGAGTGAATGTTTCATAAAAAGCAATCTGTCCAGTTAGACTCTTTCAGCAAACCTCAGACTTTTTAACAATTGGATCTAACAGGTGGTGCTTACCCCATGTGCAGCCCAGTTTGCTCGGTAAAGGACGGAGACTCTTCAGTGCCGTCAACTTTTCTCTGTAGGTCAAGCTTTTTCGCACTAGTCTGGACTCCCTCAGGTGCCTGCGTGAATATCCAAAACATAAAGTCGAATTAGAAATCATTAACCTCTGGTACGTGAGCATACATCAAAATAACTTTTAACCCTCTGGGGTTGCCGGACGCGCCGGCGCGTCAAAAATCACATGACCAATTTAAGACGACACAGCTACAAGATGCAGCACGTCGGAATCTCCATTTCAACTTGGCTCAAAAGTGCGGACTTCAAACTATATACCAGTTTTTGAATTGTGTCGATGGGCCACGTAAAACCAGAGTTATGATAAAAAATACACCCGATGTTTTTTTTTTAACAAAACAGTGGCGTTTACAGTGGGAAGAACGGTAAAAACTGCGTTTTCTACAGATATCGCTAGTATATCTCCCTTTG